TGAAGTCATCACACTTCTTCTTTCCAAACACTTTCCTTTTCCCCAGAGGAGCCACTTTCATCAAGTGTCTCAGTTGAGCAGCATCTTAGCAGGATTCCTTGACTTTTTCTTCTTCTTCATTCCTCACTTTATTTCTAGTATTCCAAGTCCTATCATGTCCCCTCCGATCTGCTTCCTCCTTGTTCTTGCAGATGCAGGCCCTCATGAATGTACTGTAGATTACTGAGAGTCCCTGATTTGGGGCTTTCTACTTTGTGCTCTTGATTTCCCTTCAAGCCACCCTTCAGAACTTCTTCACCTGACAGTGCCTGTCACGAATGGGAAAGAGCCCATCTGAGGGGGCATCAAATCCGGGCTCCTCAGAATATAATTTGGATCCATTCAACCCACCTTGCTGTCACTGACTCGGCGTCTTCGGCCTCTGGCCAAACCTTCCAACCTCTCTGAGAATGCTCTCATCCTCCTATTCAGGCTTCTCTCTCTTTAAGTTTCTCCTCCCTTTGTCCCCACTCTTCATTATGTGTCTCCAATTTTCCTAGCCACCCCATGCTCCCCTTCATTTATTCTCATCCCCTTTTACTATCTTTTTGCTTTCCCAACCTTTGACTTTCTTGAAGATATAATTCAGCTCCCACCTCTCCATGAAAGTATTTTTCACTGCTTGGGCTTAAACTAAATTTTCCCTTCTTCCACGGTGACCAGAGGTAGCTGCAGTTGGGTAGTTCATTATTTAAAATACCTTATTCCTTTCTTTCTAACTACCTCATTAGTTCTTTGAAGTTCTACACAGAAATCACCATAGCACTGGGTACATGGCTATGATCAATAAATACGATTTGATTAATCAATTTCTCTGAGATCTAATGAAAAGTATTGGTTATGTTTTTTATCTTACTGTAGGAAGAATTATACCTGCCAATTTCTGAACATAATATTTCTCCTCAATCCCACATGGAGAGAGTTGGCTCCCTGAAGGGTGGTTGGTGATTTCAAATTTCCAGAACAACCCATTTCCTTGGAGTATCAACATCAATTTAATTGCACAGCTTGCTGCCTAATCCTGTATTTATTATGGAAATATTTACATTGCTTTCATGCCTTTTCAAACTTACCATTTTCCATCTTTGCCATTATTATGATGAATAATAATGTTTCATGTACACTAACTCATTTAGTCATCTCCACAACCCTTTTAGGATTGGTAATATAATTAGTTTGGTACTTTTGTAATCCAGAAAAAAAAAATGACAGGGTATAGTTCAAAGGGTTTGAACTGGCTTAAGATCACACAAACAGGACTCAAATCCAGTTGTTTGTATAGTTTAAATTAATTCAAAGGACTTTGTCTCCTTCCATCACTGTAAATTCATCTAATCTGGACACCCCTACCATGGGCTTGCATAGCTCCCATCCACCAAAGCATGCATTGACAGTATAAAAATTAATTTATAATCTGTCTCCCCCATTGCTGTGAGCTTACTGAATGTAGAAACTAGATGCTATTTAATTTTGTATTTCCACAGAATAGCACAGAACCTGTTGGTTGACTACCTGAATTAAGTCATGGATGAATGAATGGGAGAAATTTGTGACGTGTCCTGTCTGCCTCCTAGAGAACTTGGCCCAAGACTCCCCACAACTGTGTACTGTCCATGGCACACTGCACATGATGGTAAAAAATTGCAAAATTTCTTTCTCTTAAATCTCCTTAATGATCCTCTTCATCCCAGCAGCCCACAATCCTTAAACACCATCTCACTGAAGTCTGTGGTCTTGCGTAGTTAGGACTCAGGCAGACGTGGGTTCACACCTTTCTTCTGCTAAGGATCAGCTAAGTGAGTAGCTATGGCCAAGTTAGTTATTTCCTCATCTGTAAATGGGTATATATAGTAACTCAAATTTCCAAGAGTAGTGGTGAGGTTTCAGTGGGATACCTTATTTGGAACCCTCAGCAAAGATCCTGGAACATAACTTGCTCAATGGAAGTTAGCAGTGTTTGTGCTAGGAAAGCGTGGTCCATGTGCCTCAGGAGCTCCCTGGGATTCACTAACTGACCGTGTTTTCATGCTACAAAGGTCTCTCTTGGCCAAACCTATACAGACCATCTCTTGGTCAAACTACAGAAGAGGGGAAAAAAAAAAACTACAGCAGAGGATGTAGACAATTCGAATAAACTCTACTTTCATTGGAAAACTTTAAAAAAAATTAAAGTTATTGGGGTGACATTGGTTAATAAGACTATGTAGATTTCACACACGTGTACATTTCTACAATACACGATCTGTGCATTGCATTGTGTTTCCAACACCCACAGTCAAATGGAATAATTCTGAGGAGTAACGGGATGTAGGACCTGGCAGGCCCTTTTAAGCATCTTTAAGAACCTTACAGAGAGTTGGAACAAGAGGTTGTTTGCCATTTATATTTGTAAATTGAACCTCCTGCCAGGATCCTTCCCTCTATCTCCTGCTGCTATCGTGTTCCAGTGTGTGTGCGTGCGTGTGTGTGTGTGTGTGTGTGTGTGTGTGTGTGTTGCTTCCTTAACAGCCTGAGCAGCTACCAGGTGTCCAGAGCGGAATAAAGCATCACTCCCAGGTGCTGGGAACACACCTTTAGCACATGTGTAGATCCATCTCCTGGGGTACGAGCCAGATACACAGAGCTAACAGCACATGGATGCGCTTATCACCAAGCACAGGGCTTTGGATGTAGAGGGGAGGGGGCTGCATCGCCATTCACATGATCTCAGCTTTAGGAGTCCTCTAGGAAAGAAACAGTAGCTGCTTCTTACATCACAAAGTGCTGTTCGGCCAGTCCATTTACTTGGTGAGCAAACTGAGGTTCAATAAGGTCAAATTATGCTCAAGCCCAGTTTAAACATGCTCTCGTTGGAGGAAGCCTAGAGGGGGTTGTGGCCAATGTTCTGGGTTCATGTCAAATTGGAAAGAGAACGATCTTTGGCACCAAAAAGAAAGACTTACATTCAAATCCACTGGTGTGTGAACTTTGGCAAATTGTTTATTTTCCCCAAGCCTTGGCTTTCTCTTCTGTGTGATGAGGACTGTGATACCTCTCAGGGTAACCCAATTATTCATGCATTTTATTGATGCTTACCGAGGGTGTATTATGTAGCAGGCTCTGATACTACGGGAATTATGTGATATTACAGATGTAAGTTTCTAAATGCTGGACATATGTTGGCTACTCAAAAAAAGTTCTCTCTCCTTCTCTCAAGCCATAGAGCTTCAAAACTGACCTTTCTCCAGGGAGGAATGCATCACCTCCATCAGGAATGAGTCAGATCTGGAGTATTTGCAGACTGACTTCATCCCTGTCTCCTCCACACCCCCACAGACCCCGGAACTTTTCCCTCAGGGCTCTTGAGACTAGAATACCCTGCTAACTCTGACAGATGATCTTTGAGGGGAGAGAAATCTCTGACACTCCAGGCCTAAGTGACAGCACAAGGACTTTAAAAATGATCCTGCTCATACTAGATAAAGGCGACTTGTCACAAGAGGACAGGTTGTCTTAGCATCAGTGCATGGGAAGTAAGACAAGTGAATGGTTCTATCCATTCTAGGGCTAAGCGTGGGGCCCTCCTCAAGGGTGAGGAAGGTGCCAGGGTCACAGGGCGACAGAGGCCTGGGCAATAGGTCAAGTAACAGGCAGGATCGCCTAGGAGGGGTAATTACTTGGGCAGTGGAATCAAATATCTTGATCCTCTTGAGTGCTCTCTCCCACCTCATCTTTGCATTCACCTTGCACTTGGCTCTGCGTGCTTTCTCCACCAAGCCCTAGGCTACCCTTCTGCTCTCTCCTCCACCTCCACCAGACAGCATCCACATGTGACTCTTGTTAGTGCCCTGTCTCTCTTTCTGTTGTGGCCTCAGCCATGGTGATGAGTGCAGGGAAATATAACAACATAATCCTCCTCACACCAGTCAGTCCCCAAAGGTCCTTACTCAGAATTCTCCATTTATCTGGTCATTAGGTCTAATTAAATCTCTCCATCTTAGAGCACTGATGAGTGGCACCACTTCCTCTCACCAATTAGAAGACAGAGATTAAAGAATGCCCTCGACACTTTGTCCTTGTGAGGGTGGTGGCAGGGGAGAGGGAGGGCAGGAATGGAGAGACTGTCCTGTATCTGAAGACAGGGTTGCTGTACTGTGGGTTCTGGCCAAAGAAATGCAGCCTCTGTTGGCTTCTCCAGCTGTCCCCAGGAAAGTGCATTTGGTAGCCTGTGTCTCCTATTGAAATACCTACTTCTTTCTAAAGATGGGTTTGGACAACTTAAACAAAGGACATTTTCAATAATGTCCTCGTTAAACAGAAATCAAAAAGGGAAACCAGGATTGAAGAAGGGAGTAAACAAACATATTAATCCAAAAGGTTAATTAACATATTTATTGCAGTTAACACAAAATCTAATTGGAGCTTCCTGGTAGTTAAAGTAAAAAATGAAACATAGCATATTACCATAGTGCGCATCATTTAAGAGAGGGAAGTGTACTTTCCCATTATCCTCTATTCTTGGGGGATTAAAAAAATGCCCTGGTTCTAAATTCCGAGAGAAAGTTCTAGTGTGGGGCAGCATTTAGGAGACTCTGGGAGACAGAGAATAGTTTCATCAATACTCCGTACCCATTGTCTTGCATTTGACAGGCAAGGCTCTGAGTGCCCAGGGCTTGGGAACTGAGTTTTCTTCTTTGAAGGGTTACGTTGGCCACAGAGAGCTCAAACACTGACCTCAGCTCTATGGGCACTGTGCTCAGGTCACCTGGGCGCCCAGGGTCAGCAGGGAGAGGAAGGCTACTGACTCCTACCATGTCCGACTCAACAAGGTCCTTCTGAAAACGTGCCTTTATTCTCGGTCCCCTACATAAACAGACCTGCCTCCGCTACCCTGCCTCACGGATGTGTTTGCTCATGAAGGCAGCTATCACTCACACACAG